GCGCCGGCGGCCGGGCTCCGGACAGGGCTGCGGGCTGGGGGAAAGGAGCTGTTAGAGGAGATGTAGGCACCACGGGGAACCATGGGGTGATGCTGAAGGCAACAGGCTGGGCTGAAAATCAGCTGCCCGCCGCAGATGTGACCCTTCCAGAGCTGATACACCAGCAATTTGCTTTTCCCTCCCACCCTCATTTGCGCTTTTATCCCACCCAGAGCCATTTTCCCGTTAGCAAAGAACAAACCGCCTTCACCCCAGTCTTCCCAGTGCACAGGCTCTGTGCAAGGAGCCTGCACCACCCCATGCCCCACCGATGATCTCTTCAAGGCTATCAATGGGTTCAGAATTGCAGTTTCTGCTACTTAGGAAGACCCAACACTTTATTTGGCTTTTTAATCTCATAGTTCTCCAAAGAAAGCCAGACTTGAGATTTGCCATGAACTTCACGCTTCAAAGTATTTACGTTGACCGCCACTGAATTTCACGTGAACGTTTCTCCTCCCTAAACTGATGACGAGTCCCATTTTTAATCTCAGATCTTTAAACTGAATTGCTTAGCTAGAAAAACTTCCCTTTTCCTCCATACGTTTTCTGTGTTAAGCCCAGCATTTTCTCATTAATTCCCCAAACTGTGTTTTCCTCGTAATAAAACCATCTGGACCAGTTTTACAGAGTTGCTCTGCATCTCGCTGAAACGCCCTCTGCAACCACAGCACCTATCCTCTTTTTTTTGTTTGTTTGTGAAACCCACTAAAAATAATGCTGACATTTCCACTGGGCGTGACCCTATTTTCAAGGTGCCAGCACTATTTATTCCAACGTCACGGAGTTGCCTTTGGCACAAGGAATGCGAGGGACCCCCCTTCTCCTGCCAACCACCATCTTTTCCTTCGTGTCTCTATCTTCAAACTTGAAGCGATGCCATCGTCTCAGCAAGGAACTGGAAACACGAAAGCTGCCCCTATTTTCACTATCTACAGCCACTAACCACAACATTTCCAAGTCGTGCTCTCTTTTGAGAACTTGTCGGTAAATGTTAGCTCAAATATGTAGTCCTCCAACATGGATGATGGCTGCTTTGAATCCTGGGGATGCCCGTGGGGTAGGAATATTGCTTATTGAAGGCCTTTTCCACGTGCACTTTGAGCTTGGGAGCTGCTGTTCCTCTCTGCCCAGGGAGCAGCCGAAGCCCGGCAAATCCCGGGCTCCACCAAATGACCTCTGTTTAAACCTAAGTAAATAATCTAGCGTGAACAAACAAATCCCCTTTTGTAATGGCTCAAAAATAGGCAGGTTCAACCGCGGAGCAGACTGGATTTGTCTGTACGCTGCTCTGCCAGAAAGCCCCTTGGCCAAGCAACCGCCAACGCTTTTGGCCATCACACAACACTGACGGCCATCACACAACGCCATTGTCCATCTCAGCAGACATCTCCTTGCTCCCAATGACCCCCTCAATTCTTAAAGCCACCAGTGGCAGAGCTTTTGGGGTCTTTCTCAATGTAGTAAACAGTTGGGAGCCCCAAATGTTTGGGTTTCCCCCTTTCCTTCTCCTGAGATCTTCCTCCCCCCAGGCTTGCTCACTGAAGACTCAAGGATGCAACCAGCTGCAGGTTGGACCCCAGGGACTCACTTGTGTTGGTGGAGACGGACTTTCCAATGTCGACCAAGGACCGGTGGATTGGCTTCTTGGTTTGGTGACGGTGCTTCCTGAGGAGCACGTAGCTTATCTTCTCCCGCAGCTCTGGCTTGAGCAGACCGTCCTCGATCTGCTTCTCAACGACATCGTCTGCAAGCACCAAACGAGGGAGGTGCATGGGTTATCCCACTGCAAACCCTCCCAGAAAGCTCAACACAACACTTTTTGAACCAAGCTGATGGCTCCCAACTCCTGTCTTTGCTTATTCCCACGCAAGTTGGTTTATACTTGCACGCAGCAAGTAAATGCATTTAAATCTGTTCCCAGCACCTCAGGACACGAGGAAAAATCCATCTGAAACCACCGACACCCGCTTGTACCTATGATTTGGGGCAAAGAGTAGCCATCTAAGTCCAGGAGCACCGTTCCCGTCTGCAGACACGTCCGTAGCTCAAACAGGCTGTGCAAAGACAACGTGGACACGTGGGGCTTGCTCCACCTCTCCCCGCCTTCCTCCACCTTTTCTTCAAACTTTATCCACCTGAAACGAGAGCGGCAGCTGTGGGGACGGGCACGGAGTGGGGATGGTGTACGAGAAGAGATGAAGAGGACTGCTTTTCCCGCAGCATTTCCCTTCTGCAGGCAGCTTTGCAAGCCTGAATTAATTCATTCTGCAAAGTTTTTCCTTGTTATTTAGGATGAGAATGGAGAAATGAAGTCACATTATTAGACAAAGCGCTGCTTGCATGGTCGCAGAGCGGAGCAAAACCTCTCGGCTCCACCACGGAACTCAACCCCGCGGATGTGACCCTCCTCCAACTGCTTCTGCGAGATTTGGGAGGTTTTCCCATGGAGCCGACCTTGCCTTAGCCAGGAAGGGCACCCACATGGACCAGCCGCGCACGCAGGAAAGCAAAAACCCAGGACATTGCAAACAGGTTTTTAATTCCTTGACAATGCTCAAACTTCATTCCCAAGGTGGGAGACGAGAGGGCTTGCAAGCCCTTGGAATTCAGCCCTTCCACCTCCTTAATTTTCCCTTAATCTTACAAACCAAAGACTTCAGAACAAATTCGGGAATGGTGGCTGATTTCTCCCAGCTCCTCAGGAATGGGGCTTGGGCTCTGGGGAAGGCAGGCAGCTCTCAGCGAGACGTCAATTTGGGGAAGAAAGCTGCTTTTCCTTCTGAGGAGGTTTGAAGGCTCCGTGGATTAGCCTTCCCAGGGTTTAACCTTAGAACTTTTAACTGGTACAACTGGGGTTTGGGCTCCTGCTGGCACAGAGGGCACAGATGGAAAGGATGGAGGAGGAGAAGGGTTTTTGGAAAGAGCTGATGGCTCCCAAACGCTGCAGGGGAAGAGTGGGGAGAGCAGGGGATTGTATCGGCTGCAGGGGGTTGCATTAAAATGCTGCTGCTGCTAAAGAGAAAATGCTGCATGTCACCACTAAAAAAGCCCCAAAATCTTATCTGGGAGTGCCAGGAATGGCCCGTGCTGAGGACAAAACCCCAGAGCATTCGAAAATAGAAAACTTGGCCCTAGCATCCATCACTCCAAAGCTCCCCACCCCGATTTTTTTTGCAGAAACGCCTTCTCCAGCCCTTTAAACAACGCTGCTTCTCTTGGGAGGAGATTCAGGCTTCCTGCCATAGCACCCGCTGAACCCCGGCAGCGCTCGCCCAAAGCGATCAGGTCACTTTTCGTTTCTTTTTCGCCCCGTTTTCCTGCCGAAAGTGGGTCAGCATGCACACGGGCGGCAGCTTGGGGTGGCGTGCGGGACTCGAGGCACGTTTCCAGCCGCACCTTTGCCCCGGGACCGGCACCCCGTGATGCTTTCGCCAAGGCTACAGCAAAACCCCGTCTCCCTGCTGCGCTTGGCTGCTTTATTTCCATTTATTTCCATTTATTGCGGATTTAGCTGCAGGTAGCGCTGCTCCCACCGAGGAGCTGCTCTCCTAAAGAGGCTGAAGCTCTCCTCACCAGAGAGCGGAAATCGGGACTCCAGAAATGTCCATCCTGCCGGGGGGAATTTGGAAACCTCCTTCTCAAGCCCTCCCTGGTGAAAACCCCCACGCAAGCGCCGGTTTTTTGCCTTCCAAGCTTTTTGGGGAGTGGAGAGGGATGAGTAGACACAGACCTATGCAGAACCGGGGGAGAGGGAGGGGAGAAAATTAAGGATTTTGGCAACAGCATCTCTGCGCTGCTGTGTTTTGAGCAGGGCTGACAACCAGGAGGATGCTTAAAAGCTTTCCAAATTTTTGGTGATGCTGATAACCAGCCCAAGAGATGGGCTGAGCGTGCTCAGGGTCTGATCCTGCTTTCTTCCTCAGCTGTCAGGTGAAACTCCATGCCCAGACTCACAAATCCCGCGTGTGCTACTGAAAGGAAAGGGCTTGGGATGCCATCAGCATCCCTGACTCCCTTCCCAAAGCCCCCCCAAACCTCCTACTCCTTACACAGCTGTGGCTAGGAAGAGAAAATCCCATGTGGATTTGAGATTTTTCCCTTGGAGAAGCTCCGAATTCAACAAAGCGAATGCCACTGGCAACCCCTCTAATACTTTTATTAAAGATGCAGCAGGTGGGGTTTTATTATTATTGCTTGAGGGGTAGGAAAAGTTGAACTTTTGGCCTGGTCAGTAAAAGCGTGGGGGGAAAAAAAGACTTGGGAAAATGTTCTTTATGTCCCCGATTCCCATTTCCCATCTCTCTGCTCTAATTCTCCAGTTTCCCAGCACGTTACCCTGGTTTTTTCACCCCCACAGCACTCTCATTTTGCTCTCCTGCTGCAACTGGGAATGGGAAAAACCCCGGCTCTGGGGTTGATCCAACCTGGAGAGATGTGGGAGAGGATGGGAAATCTTCCTCCCTTCCTCCTCCTCATTAGGCTGCAGCCGCCATGCAAAGCCCCCAAAACACTGTGTTTTCTGCATTTCCCTAATTCAGGCATTGTTTTTTTAACCTCATTAAAAATGATGCTCGTTCCCTGACCCCATTTCCACCCTGGGATATTTAGCAGGGGGATCTTTACCCAACCCATTTGCAATCCAAAGCACCTCCCCCCTCCTCACCTGGCCGACTCTTTCCACTCCATCTCCTCGCCGTCGTGCTGCAGCGTGTCCATCTCCGTGAAAAGCGTGGGGTTGGGAGGCTCATCGTCTTCCCCCAGGATGTAGCGGAGGCGTTCGGCAGCCGGTGGCCCCGCCGGGGGGTGGAAAAAAGAAGTTTAAAAAAAGAGATTTGCCATCGCCCGGAGACGAGATGATCCCACGCCATTCCCATATGGAAGACCCCAGGGGGTAAAGAGAGATTTGTAGGGCTACTTAGGATTCTGGGGTAAAAAAAAGAGGTTTTGAGGAAAATGTTTAAGGTGAGAGACGTTGAGGAGTGAGGAAACTCTGAGTAATCCTGTCCCAAGATCCCTGTGCAAGGAGGTACGGGATGCTGGTGGAAAGGACGAGCGGAGGCTGCGTAGCAGCCAGGAGGGGAATATAGAGGTCCAAGCCAGGAACTGAGGCGCGCAGCCACCCCTGTATACAATACAGTCAAATTCCCCTTCCAGGAGAATTATGTACCCCATTTCTGGGGGGGTATCCCACATTTTTCCCTACCACGGAGCCTGCTTTTGCCAGGTTAGAGCTGCCTGCCATCAGCAACCATATCCTTATGGTCTCCAGCACCACGCATCGGGATGCACGAGTGCTCAGCACCCATTTTCCTGCTGGATCCCCGAGGGGAACGTGTATCGTTTAAGGGGAATAATACAAATTTATCATTTCTGCAGGAAAAATCCAGCTTCTTGCTGCAAATAACCAGCCAGGCTGGGGAGGGCACCTATTGCCTCCCGCTCCCCATGGTCTGTCTTGGGAAGGAGACCGGCGACGTGTTGCCCGTCTGCAAACCTCCTGACTGATGGGAGAAGGGATTTTCCTCTTTGGTGCATTCCCTGTGGCCACAGGAGGGTGACGGGTGACAGACCTGCCTCTCTCCTCCCGAAAAAAAAAGCCAGGCTGGTTTTTCTTTAACCCTCTCCATCTTCATGTGCTTTCCTGGCAAAGCTGCGTAATTTGGGGTGCAGGGAGGAATCAAACGCCTGGGTATGGACCTGGACGTGGCATGGATGAGACTGCTCCCCAGTTGCCCCATTATTCAAACAAGAAGTAAAGATCAGCCCTACGCCAGGCTCCATGGAAACGGTGTGTTTGGAATAAAATCTCCGGACTTCGCCCTCTCCTGACACAGCAGGAGTTCACCCAGCTTGGACAATGCCCGTTCGCAGAATCCTCCTGCTCTCAAACCTGGGAATAAGAAAGGTGGGTAATACGGTACCCAAAAAAGCAGGTAATTAAACTGCTGCGTGCCAGTGGAAATAAAACTGGGAATATTGCCCTGTGCCCCCATGAAAGCAGACGAAACCCAGGTCCTGGCAGCCATGAAAGAATAGGATGTCCCTTGTGCTCTGGGCTGAGCCTGCTTAACCGCTTCAGCCCTTGAAGTCCCACAGCCAGGACTAAAGCCCTGTTGTCAAGTCCTCCTTCCACTTCCATAAGCTTCATTATGATGATTATTAATATTCCTGTTAATTTTAGAGCTGGGCTACATGCCTGGAAGGGCAGTTCTCCTTCCCCTCTGCTCTGCCCTGGTGAGGCCCCATCTGCAGTGCTGGGTCCAGTGCTGGCCTCCCCAGTTCAAGAAAGATGAGGAGCTACTGGAGAGAGTCCAGCGGAGGGCTGCGAGGATGAGGAGGGGACTGGAGCATCTCTGCTACGAGGAGAGGCTGAGGGAGCTGGGCTTGTTCAGCCTGGGGAAGAGAAGGCTGAGAGGGGAACTTAGAAATGCCTCTAAATATCTGCAGGGTGGGGGTGAGGAGGACGGGGCCAGACTCTTTCCAGTGGTGCCCAGTGACAGGACAAGGGGCAACGGGCACAAACTGAAGCAGAGGAAGCTCCAGCTGAACCCGAGGAAGAACTTCTTCCCTCTGAGGGTGACGGAGCCCTGGCCCAGGCTGCCCAGGGAGGCTGTGGAGTCTCCTTCTCTGGAGATATTCCAGCCCCCCCTGGACGCGGTGCTGTGCAGCCTGCTCTGGGTGCCCCTGCTTGGGCAGGGGGTTGGACTGGGTGACCCCCAGAGGTCCCTGCCAGCCCCGACCATCCTGTGATTCTGTGCTGTTCACAGAAGAGGGGATGAAGTCAGTGTGACACCGGCAATCCCCTTGGCCTCATGCTGTCTGCTTTGCTCTGCAGCTCAAACCTGAAATCTCCTGCAATCCCCCAAACTGACACGAAATGCAGTGAGCTGGGTGGTGGCAAAGGGCGTTTGCTGGAAGCACTCATCTTGGGCAGGGTCTCCGGATGCATTTGGGAAAAGGGGGAATTGCAATTCTGCAGGAATGGGGGCGGAAGGGTTAGAGCTTGGCAAATCCTCAACTTGGTGGTTGCTGCTCCTGGCTCTGCCCAAACTCCCCTCCTCCTGTGCTTAAGGACAGGTTCCTCCTGCTTCGACGTGCTGGAGGGTCCCTCCAGCAACTGGTTTTGGGGTGTCGGGGCTGCGACACACTCTAACCACTGGAAACCGCACAAGCTAAAGGAAATCTTGCACATGAAGAGCTTTTTGGGGTGTTTTTAGCTTTTTTCCCCCCCATTCTCCCCCGGTTTAAAGAATAAACCCATCTCTCGACACGCAACGTGTGCTTCCCGGTGACGGCCGCCTCCTCTCCCCGCTGCTCGCTGACCCGAGCAACGAGCCGGTTGCTAAACCAACTGCGCTGGGGCTTTGCTGCACAGCAGAAATTCACGGGGTTGATTCACGTGGAGGACCCTTTCGTGCCCGGGAAAGCACCCAGCCCAGCGTCTGGTTACAACCCGGCTCTCGGTGTTTTGGTTTTTTCTCCTGCAAATTCGATCCAGCACCTAAATTAATCCTGGGAAGCAGCAGGGAGAACACACGGAGCAGCGGCATCCAGGCACCTCCGGGGAACGCAAGAGTAAAACGGCTGCAGTGACCCTGGCCAAAACCCACAAAGCCACCCCAAAATCGTCAGCTGTTTCTTGCAATTCCATGGGTGCCCACAGCAGATCCGTACCTCTCCGATCCAGCTTTAACCACGGGAAAACGCTCACAGCGGCAATT